TTGTGTTTGCTGTTGTACATCATCAAATACCGAAGAGCTTTCTACCCAAGGCAATGCTGTCAGCTGATTTGGGATGGCAGACAAGTGACTTAAAGAGTAAAAAATAACATCACGCAACATGAGTGATCTATACATCAGAAATATAAACAGAAATTTATATACAACAGAAATTTAAAATGTGTCAAATAGAAGTATTTTGCTTCACTAGGCTTTGGATTCACTGAAGGACACAATGTAGAGGCTATCATGGGAAACAGAACTAGATAACATGTTGCAAACAGTGACACTAAACAGTATAACATTTAGGTATTTTTTATCTGCACTGATATGACACTCAGCTAGAAAATATTCAGTTGTCTATTTGTTTTATTGAATATAACTGTGAAATTTAAATTAATTTAATGATACTCAATGTTATGCATATTTATGTTAACAGTTATTGCATAATTCAATATTAATCAATGCATTAAATCAGTCTGGCTTAATCTTCATCTGTACTTTAATGTCTTACCTCATGAAATGTAAGAAGCCTGCATGCTACTTACATATGCAGTTCAAAGGATCGTGCTAGTCCTCTTTAACAGGAAAGAATGCTAATAATCATTAACAGCTTTTTAATAGAGTCAACTGCAACTATGGAGTGGGAAGAAGAATATTAGCATATACTTAGGGGATATCACATTGCAATCAGCCACATATTAGAACATCAGCAAGGGGCATTCACAAAAGTGATTGAACAACAGAATTTTGCAGAAGTGCCCACAATTTCTTCTATGCATAGGCTTTTTGACAAATCCTTAGATCAGTTTGACCCTTGACACTTCTCACTTGAAACTGCAGTTTATAAGAATACTAAACATTTTTTATCCTCTTCCATTTTTTCTTTCAGTTGAAGGTGTGTTAGTTTAACATTTGAAATGCAGTATCACGGTGCTGGCTTTCATACACAGGTGCATATTTTTTAGCATATGCTCAGAGAATGGAAGGATTTTTTTTGAAAGTATTTAAGACTTTACATTTGTTCAGAGTTAAAATTTATATTCAAATTAATGAAAATGGAGATTATAAAAGGAAGAATGAAAGGACAGAAGGAAAAGTGAAAATTTAAAAACTAAGCTCAAATATTATTTTTGCTTTTTTTTCCTCTTCTCCCTTTCATATTATGAGAAAAAATGCATTAGCAAATGTCTCTAGTGTGTCCTTGATTTTTGTGTTACTATAAATAGATTGTTCTTTGATGTTGTTCCTGAAGCTGAGTTTGATACCTTAGGTTTTAAGTTTTTCTGTTCTGCTTTGGTGTGCAGCTTTAGCTTTATATTAAGTGTTACTAGGATCTTTTCACAGGGTGGTGAAGACAAAACAATCCTATTCTGGCTGGAGACTCAAGGACAATCTCTTCAAACTTCAGGCCAAAAGAGCAGGGTGGGCAAGCAGGCAAGGATGATGAAATTTCATAATTTGAAGCTATTAATTGGACAGTTATTCTTATATGCAAATGGACTAAAACTTATAAAAATGTGAGATCTCATGACCAAGCCCTCTTTTGCTTCAATCTTGGAGCCATCTGGTACTGCTGGGTGTGGCCTTTGAAATCATCTCAATAAATACCCACTTAATTACTCTTAACTCCATGTAGCTTCTGTTCCACCTCCTTAAGGCACTAAGATCATTGTTCATTCTACTGTCTTCCAGGAGAGCTGTGTCTGCAATGACTCTTTTAAAGTCTGTAATGAAGAGTACAATGTCAGTGATGTACCTTGGGATGTCCACAAGTGCAAAAGTTCAAATCTGCAAAGTGCTGTGGAAGAAAGAACCTATTTGTACTGTAATAATGCTTGGAGCACTCAGCACGTGCCAAAGAGTACTCAGCACCTTGCTGGATTATCCCAGTGGTCGGAAGACTATATAGGATGAAAAAAGGCATCATCTAGCATATACACTGTCTGCAGCACTAAGTACTACCCAGTTGCTATTACATAGAGAATTTTGCTCTTTTGTTTTGGAAGAAAATATAGATTTTTTTTTTTTTTGATTCTTTGAACTGTCTGCTGTGTTTCTTTGATATAAATAAGTCATTAGCAGTGTAATTCTTCTAGCACTAGACAAATGCAGCAAATTAATTATTTGTTCCATATTTTTCAGTGAGAAAAAAAAAAGAGTCTATTTTTGCTTCAGTTATATCCTCTGTCACCTGAAATATTTGATAAGCATTAAAAAAACTAGATATCTATATATTTGGCTACCAGATCAAAAGAATATAGCAATCTATTTTACAAATTCTGGATAACCAGTGGCTGGTTTAAATGAGGTTGTTGAGTACTCCACTATGTTCTTGGGACACAGCTCCCAAGTTCTTATTTAAATGGTAGACATTAAATATGTAAATGTGTTTATCTCTACTACCTTTTCAGTCCTGTGCCATTTACAAGGATTATTCAGGTAATTAAAATGCTGTGTGTTCTTAAGCAACATGTAGAGTCTGAGTTTAATCTTTGCTTTCAATACTCAAGTGGTTGCTGAAAGAAGGTTTTGGGTTTACATTATTCTAAAAAGTAGTCCTTGATTAATCCTGAATCCTAATTTAAAAAAAAAAAAAAAAAAGGCAAGATATAGGCCCACAATGCTCTTGATATAACTATCTTGAAAAATACTTTTGTGCAAGATACCAGATTCACACAGCGATCCATTCCTCTGTTTTATCCTTTTGACTTTGCAGGTGAGGTTAAGCATTCATAATAACTTAATCTGCTCTTGTAGTTCCTTTTTCCTTTTTTCATTCTTTGGATAAGCAAACACAGACTAAAGGAGATTTACAGTTAGACAGTCTTGGTCTCAAACTGCTGAAAGTTATTAAATATAAACTTGCTTTTTCTATCCTCTTTTATGGACCAGTGATCAGAATAATTGAGCTTCATGAGCAGAAGGTGTCTGTATTCTTGTCTCCTAAGTTCATGGATGTTCCAGCTAGTAGAACATTATTCATCAGAATACTTTGGACACTAGTAGTAATCAAAGAACAATTGTTATTTTCAAAATTTATTATAGGGAGGGTGTGTATCCTAAAAATATTGTAGTTTTATAAGTAAAGCTGTAAAGGTTGGAAGACAGAAAGTGGGAAGCACTGGTTTAACACTGAAGTGCAGTAGCTCCATACTAAGGAAAAGATTTTGTGGGTATTAGGTCAGCAATGTGTTCTGAAAAAAATACATGAGAAATGAGAATCAGTATTTTTATCTTTCCTTGCCATGGAAGGGTACCTCTTTTTAAAGACCAACAGGCTAGAGTGTTAGAGTAATAAGAGAAGTGAAAATGCCTGGGATTAATTAAATTAGTTAAAAGACAGTGCAATGATTGTATATAATGATATCCGAGGCAATTGGAAATGACCATTAAAATGCCTGGAATAACAGATGCTTAGGCCTGAAAATGATCAATAACATGACTGTGAGACAGCTGGTTTCATTAAATGAAGAAATTAGCTAACTGGTTAGGAACTTGCTTCAGTTAGATCAATTAAAAACAACTAATGGAATAGAAGGAGAATTGTGCTTCACTGGTTCAAATAAAATAAGTTTAGTAAAAGATTTAAGAAATCACAGATGGTTGTTTAATTAATAACAGCAACAATGACAAGAAAGGTCTTCAGTGGTTAAATGAGGAAAAAAGAGTTTGAGCAGAAATAAGGGATTGAGTGCATTGAGGGCAGATACCTGAGGACCTTAGGGTAAGGATTAGGTTAATTGAAATCTATTGGATCAGACTGTAGAGGAAGTGAATGGCTGCCTCATGTGCAGCCTTTGGGGTAGCTTATTCCTCATCTACTTGTCCAAGAAAACAGGATTTGGGAGTATGTGTCACAAAAATAATGAGAGGCATGTTTAAAACATCTGCTAGGGTGCAAAAAAGTAAATGTGGACACCATCAGTTTCTAACTGGAAAATATGATCCTCATAACTTCATACCATGGATTTCCTAGGAGCACCAGAGTTAAATAACATTTTTCACTTTAGTGTGAAAGCTGTTTAAAACATAGAAAAAGCTCCAGTGAGAGCTTAAAGGAGCCTGCCGGTACCTAAAGGGGGCTAAAAGAGAGCTGGAAAGGAAATTTTTAAAAGGTTGTGTAGCAGCCTAGTCCAGTGAAAGTTGTTACTGCCCAAGGCAGCATGTCTTGGAACTAAAAGACCTTTAAGGTCCCTCCCAAACTCAACCATTCTATGACTTTTTTTAAAGCTGCCTATTGCCTTTATGAGTAGACAGTGCCATGAAAGTGTTTTCCAAATATTTAAACATATATAAAGAATACAAATAAAATATAGAATATGTATAGAATACATTTTAATATATATATAATATAATATTAGTATGTAGTACAATATGCTTTGAAAAGTGCCAAAAATTATTTTTTTCCATTTTCTATGTAAAACTGACTAAAATATAAAAAGAACCTTTTAAAATACTAATGTGTAGAAATCTCAAGTAGCTGTTTTCAACTTGTTATTTGAGACTGGAGAATGGAAAAAGGTGCACAAGTTTATTACTTCTCCTACTCTAGAAATAGTTATACTAATTAATTTAACAGTTGTGGTATGTTCTTTTGATGGCTTTATAACCAATTTGCATTGATTCTCCTGGTAATTATGTTTACTATAATATTATATATTTACAACAGCATTACAAACACCCATTTCCTAAGGCCACACCAGTGTAATAAAGTGGTTTTAGTTTTGCCACATTGCAAGTACTTGACTCCAGACCTGACAAAAAGCATTTTGTATTCAATTAACCCTAATGATAAGCTATCAGACCTGTAAAATGCTGCTACATGTTACATTACATAACACAATAAATGAGTCCAAATGATCAGCAATAGTGGGGTCTGATTCAGCAAATTTGTTCTATATCAGAGCTTAGTTCCGATAATTGTTTTTATGCAATAAAATAAGCCCTATGACTCACTGATAAATTTTTAGGTTCTAATGAGAATGTTCTAAATCTTTCAGGTACATCTTCTACAAAAGGCTTGGAAAGTGTTCACCTTGAGGAGGATAGAACGTGTCTGCAAAGCAAGAACAGCAAGTCTCTCCCACAAAGGGAACTTTTTCTCCTTGAAGGCAAAGAAGGAAGATCTTCAATCTGCTTGAGAATTGCTGTGACACCCTGTATTTGGCATCTGTTTCTAGAACCAACCACTCCCTGTTCCTATGATAAGGACAATACTGTACTGACCCCTTTTCAAAAAATATCAGGAGAGAGGGAATTAAATGGAGGATCTACACTCAGAAAGTTGAATTCTGCACCAATTAAACTAATCAGAAGACAGTTCTTCCACTCTCCTTAGAGGAACTAGAATTTCATTCCACACATTCCACAACTATAAAGCCCTAAAATACTACCTGTGCAACAATGAATTTCATCACAGCAAGTGAATTATTTTAAACAGACTCAAGATCTCTTGAATAGGAAAAGAGAATTTATATCTCTGGAATGTTGAAGCTATTAAAAAAGGCAATGTAAAAAGAAATAGACATTATTCCCAAGGAGATTTGATTTGTGTTTTCTATAAATCTAGATATTTCTCCTTTCTGTTCATCATATTTTCCTTTTTTTGCCATCTGAAAATAATTTTTGTTTTCCTACTGAATTTTCAGGTTATCCACCTATTGTTTTAATTGGCAGGGGCAAAATGCTTTTATGACTGAATTAAATTCCTCCTTCTCATGTATAATGGCTTCTTCATTCTTCTGTTTCTCCTTTTGAAGTCTGAGAATCTTTGAAAGAGT